TCTGGGCTTGAAGGCAATATCAGTCCATCCTCTTTGTATTTCTTCACTGCAAAGACTGCAGTCAGGCACGTAGGTTGAGTCATAGCTGCGGGACAGGGCGACCCTGCGATGTCTCTAAGGGGGAGCCTGGCACTCAAGGGTGGTTTGAATGCCAATTTGCAGATTCTGGGTCGCCACACTGTGGGACAAATACCCAGCCTCTCGCGGGGCAGCAGAGGTTCGGATGCGAGGCTGTACCGGTGGGGTCACTGCCAGCTGTGATCCCCTCAGGTGGGAGGACCTTGTCCTACACTTGGGCCCCCACACGTTAGAAATCCCACCAACCCTCAGGCAGCTAGACCATCATCCATCAACCCCCCTACTTCTTCTGCCACTTGTATTGCCCTTTGGTGTTTTATCCGTGGTGCTGGTGTATTTATCATGTCCTCAGGTTAGGCTAGGCTGCCTTAACTGTAAAGTCACTGTTATGGCTATCTGCATGTTATTTACAAAATAGATCATTAGATAGTTTTTATAAATATTGCATGTGGCTACACAAGACTTTGCGATGATGTCTCTTGACATTTGTTTATTTTATAGGAGATCACAGAGTTCGTTGCTATTCTGCCTGGCCTTGGAAGGAGGCTTCAGCGCTCTGATGGAACCCAGTCCCAATTAAGACTCAATTAGAGACAGATGAATATTTCATAATGAATAATGTGTACAGAGTAATTCACCTCTTTTCTCCATGCACAGCTTGCAATTTTCTCAAGTGAATTCTTTATTCAAATTATTCACAGAAAAACAAGCATAAATAATTCTTGTTCTGCACTTTCTTCAGTAACTGTCACCACAAACCTTCCAGAGCTGGGTCAGCTGGACACAAGCAATTGATAACACTGACATGACCTATATGTTCAAAAATCATCACTCAGCTTCCCCAGCTCATCAGAGAGACATGTAAATCTCCAGATAAATAAATGCTGGATCCTTTTAATTTGCCCTCTTTGTTCTGACTCCTTGAGGACATTTGAATTTAATTTTCAAGCTTTTCTCTGCAACATAAACGAAAGCTGAAACTTTCATCTAATTACGTTTCCACATCTCCAAGGAAAACACCAAATACCAAGATGCTTAGGATCAAAACAAGAGCTGATGACCCTGAGGTGAGTGAGTTTCTTCTCTAACTGGTTCAGCAAAACTCTCCAGTGAACATTTGTACCAAAAATTCATAATTACGCTCTGTACACTTTGGTACATTTGCTGAAAGAGCCGCTTAGAATTTGCTCGCTCTGTCTCCCAGTGACACCTCCGCGGCGTTATTCACTGCGGAGGCACACAAGGAGTGGAAACATGTCATACGAGTGAGCAAGTCCTGCACACATTTTCTACTTGCTCAGCTTTATCTTCAAGCCTGTCATCCAGCGATCAAGGTTCTCTGAAGTTTGCTGTTGTCAGGAAAGGTTTTGGCGTCGTTTTTTTTTCCTTTCTAGGCTAGGGAAAAGATCACTTACCCGAGAAGAAAGAGAGCAGCAGCAGGCTGAGAAGCACTAAGGCGCCTGTTGCCTTCATGCTGCAGGTAGCTCTAGTCCAAGCCAAGGGATCCGTGCGGGTGGTGTCGTCTCAGCACCGGAGCCCACAGTGCGCACAGACCTGCCTTTCTGTGTATTTATGCGCTGTGAATGCATGTAGCTGTCCTCGTTCCCCACCTTAATTGTGAGAACTTCTCCACTTCGTTTCTAAAGCCATTATTGGTCCCGGTTGTGTTTATGGTGCTTTAGGAATGCTGCCCTGTCCACATCAAACCTAGAAAGGGCTAATTACATGAGTGATAGACTCGGGCTTGTAATATCTTTTTTTTTTTTTTTTCTAAATAGTCACAAGATTCTCACAAGGGTGAATTTTCAAAGCAGTGATTCATCGGGGAAGCTGGTAATTTTCATTCTCTGGGCCCTCGCTGAATGCCAGCTCCGAGGCTTTGAGTGCGGCGTGATGACACTCACTAGACGTTACGAAATAAATCACAGCATGAGAATGTGTTGTCTGTGAAACCAATTATACGTTGTTCCCTGGCTATTTTTGAGGATGGTTCTAAATTTGTTGGGTTGGGGTGGAGAAGTGCTCCGATGTGACGTGCTCTCATAGCTGTGTGCACAGTCCCAGATAGGACTGCTGACTCTCCTCCCTGAACTTCTTAAACTCTAGCTGTCAATGTTTTCCAGCTTTTCACATTCACAAACATATGTTAGGGCTCCACTCCCGCAGCAAGTGGCAGTGAAGGGAATTTGGTGGGGAACTGGGAGATTTGAGCTCTATTTCCAGCTGAGTCTGTGCAAGGATTTGTGTTCAGCTACACCATTTGCAAAATATCTGTTTGGAGAAGAATAAGCTTAAAATTTTAGTATGCTTTCCTAAGGAGACAAGGCTTAGGAGAGCAATGGTATAGATCTATCTCTTTATTAGTTCCCCCAGTAAATTTTGAATCTGTAACTAGTTCCAACCAGATTTGACATAGGAGTGAAAAAAATTAAAAATAACAAATACATTTTTATACATTTTTCTAGGAACAGAGGAAAGATGCTAATA